GAAATTTCATAAAAAACTCTTGTGAGTCGAATCAACTTCATGATGGTGTCTGAGATATTGGAAAAACTGAGCAAGCTGAACGCCATAAATTTGTAGACTAGACTTTGCCTGGTTGGACATTTAAGTATAAATCGGGTTCAAAAGGAATCAAAAGAAATTGAAAGAAATATTGAAATATGTATAAGGTATAAAAAATAATTTAACTACTATTCACAAATTCCTTAATAAAACGAAATATATCGAAACTCACCATTCATCTGCAAACAGAAGCGAATTAAACAGCGATTATTAAACGTATCAGGAAAACCTCTATTTTCGACAAACGGTTTATAAGCCACCAGGCAAATTGTTAAATACGTTTTTTGCCAAATATAATGCGAATTTACACACAGTAGCAATTTAAGTTTCTTATACGCATCTGCATTTGTAAATATTCTAGAAACTTTTAATCAAACATACCCTCACCAGCCAAGCACAAACTGAAACTGAGTACCAAGATATTCATGTAATTTTTAATTTCACTTCCGCACATATATTAATATTTATTTGGCAGGTACATCTCAAATGGCCATTAATTGTTAATATTCATAGCGCTACCTTTACAATCTATTATTAATTAAAAAGGAGATATAATGTAATATTTATAGGTACATGATGAGAAAATCCATTGCCTCATTGTTTAAATTTAAATGAAGGCCCTGCTTAAAAGGAGTTCCTGATTGATTAATAATAGTGTGAATAAACCGCAACTTCCAGTGTTGTACTAACAGTTACTATTAATATTTGTTATGAAGAAATGCAGATCGCGAAACAAAGTCTTCAGAAATTTATTAATTGATTCATTTGCAAAAGATAAGTTTTTCAAAGTAAGTCGATATTACAATATTGCGACGGATGCTCAATGGTTATTTTAAAATATGGTAATGATGGGTTTTGTTCGTTAGTTCAGCTGAGCATGTTTAACAGTGCATCCAATATAATGGAAATATTTGTTTAATAAATAATATCGTTAGGTTTATTTAAGATCTGTTAAAAGTTCAATGGATCGCAAAAATGAAATTTAAAAATAAGCAATTTCGCCAAATAAGATCTGCTGTGTCTTCTCCAGAATAGGAAGAAGTTTGTACCCTTTTTGTAACCTTTTAAAAGTGTCTGCGATTATTTCCCGAAAAAGTTATATTATTCATTACCAATATCAGGTAAACGATTTAAATCGTCGAATCGTGAATTGTTCGGAGACATACATAAAATAATGAAATATTGATTTCGTACATTTAGAAAGAGTTTACATTTTTTATATTGAAAAACATCATGAATTCAGTGCGGCAGCCTACGGCAAATGCTCTAACAGGCAGGGCGATATGCGAAAATCAACTGGGTCAATCAATCAAGGTCGTAAAGAGTAAAAAATACAAATTAAAATAATATAAAGATAATTTTTGAGCCTGATTAAAAACGATTTGCTAACGATTGTATCAAGTCTCTAGTTTGTTTGGTTAGTGTCTGAATATATTTTTGAAAATTGGCTATTTTGCGGAAAATAATCAGCTAAATTTATTTAGCCCTTAAAAATGTATGTTAATTTTAGCCATGTACATGAAACTTGTAAAGTAAATGTTTTTAATAAAGTCCAATTATGTGTTCCCAAACAAAAAAAAAAGATACGATTACCATGTAAGTGTTGGCCCTTTGTTCAACTTTTCGGTTAGAGTTATTTCTAACGTCATGATTTCTCGCAATACTAAATTTTTCTAAAAGTTACAGTTAACTTTTCTACTTTCGTACCTACATTTATTGATAAAATTTATTCAAATATTAACATTTTGTACATCACTATAGAGTATTCTGGATTTCATCAGTAGAAAGAATAGAGGAATTCAGCATGCCACTTTCATACAAGGAAATTAGTGAGCAGTTCTTCAATTACTCATCTAATAGTAGGTTGCTTTGAAAAACTTTAGTTTTATGTACGAATCCTTCAAAGTATAATGTGCTCATTAAATTTCACACTTTGAGGTGTCAATTATCGGGGACATTTTTTCGTCATATATCCTCAAAGATGGATGAACCGACAATATTTAGTTTCAAGCGCAATTTTTATTACAGCAACGTAACAGTATTTCTGATTCTCGTAACATGAAATGTTTATCGGTTCAACTGAAGAGCTTGTCCTACGCAAACCGGAGTTTTTCGGCCAACCGTAAATTTGAAAGACAAGTACACCGAGTTGGGATTTATCTGTGGCTTTTAACAGCTCTAAGTGACGGTTAGCGAGTTGTTGCTCATCTGAAAAGAATTGGTATGGACTTAAATTCACAGTTCACTAACAAAGCATAATAAATATGTTTCATAAATGCTCTATATTTTTTCTATTAAAATGTGTTTTGATTTCATTAAAAATTATTTCGTTTAAATGAGCTATCAATTGCATTTTGACTGCACGCGATTTTATTTTAAGGTCTTTAAACAGCAAGACAACCGGTCAAAAGTAGCCAATTTCATAAGCGATGTCAAATGGTAATATTAAATGAGTAAAAAATGCTTTCAAGAAAGCGTTATGAAAACCCCATTTTGCAACAATTTAAAAAGTTGTTAATGGTGAACAATAAAAAGTCAGTTTTAACAGATAACATAAAAAAGCTCTAGTTTCTAGAAAACACTAAAATTATTTTAAATTGTTAGACAGAGAGAGATGAAAACTCTTATATTTTAAAGTCATTGTAATTTTCAGATATAAAACTGATAATTTTACATGCCAAATAATTTTGTGACTTTAGTTGCGTTAGTGTGTTAGATGCATAATTTGTGTAACAGGATCTTGGCACAAAATCTTTTAATCTCTCTTAATATTTTCAATAGATTTTTCGAAAATTCTAGTCTTTAATTAATAAAGTTAAGTGCACGCGGAATAATCAAGAAGTTATTTAATTTGAAAAATTGACATTTATATTTAGATATATTATACAAGATATTCGGAAACTAGACTAGCATCCCAAGACAGCAAATTTCACAACTAATTTCATGTGAATTGGTTCTAACTCGTTTTATCTAAAAAAGCTTCGTAAAAGAGATTTGGATAATAAAAAAACTTTCGGTTGTTTGTTTCGTGAAACCGTTTTGTCGAGATTCATTCGAAAAACTTTCAAAGGCAAAATATTTCTCTTGTTTTATTTAAGATAGTTACTTTTTCGCTACTTCGTTCATCACATTTTCATTCACAGAATTCCTAAGCAAAAAAACTTTCGTAGTAATCGAAATATTTCGACCTATGAATTTTCTTTCTTGTTATTTTATAACCGACAAACTTCCTACCTAAAACTGAAACGTTTGTTTCGCTAAGGTAAAAACTATTGTTAGATTTGCAAATGTTACTTATTTTCAGTCTAATATAATAACAAGATAATACACGATGGCTTCTAAAAATCTAAGCGTTGTAATATAAAAAAAATTCTGCCTCATTAACATTACGCAAATAGCTGTTGCTTCTCAAAGATCAAAAACTCTACTGAATATGAATTTGGTTAGTGCAGTCGGTAAATTTAACGGATTTCAACAATACCTATCAATAAAAAGTTAAAACTCAATTATCTATTTACAATTGAGCTCAGTGCAGTGGCGAATCTAGGGGGAGGCTATGGGGCTGCAGCCCATCCAGGCACACTTTGATAATAAATGAATAACATTTTGTAATGGCTATATGTAACTGAAGAAACTCGTGTGCACTCACGCGAATATTCCATGAAAAGATTGAAACACAATCACTTGGACGAGATGGAGTAGTAGCTAGGCCACCTCGATCACCTGATCTAAACAATCGGGACTTTTAACTTAAATCAATCGGGATTTTTCAAAAACAGACTCCAGTTGGCCTTAAACATTCAGTTTCAGTCAAACCCCGAGAAAACTTTTAACATTTTTTACCTCGTCTTGATAAATCAAATGAAATCGCCACACGAATTTTTGCTGGGTCCGATTTGTGCTGCCGCGCCGGTTAAAACCCGACGTTTATTTAGAATTTCTCAGTAACAGATGATCCACGTCCATAAAAGGGCTCCGCCTCCGTTCAACCCAATATTCCAGATAACGATTGAATGGAAATCAATTGGAAGAGGTGGACCAAAATAACTAAGTTTAGGGAGTTTTAACTTAAAACAATCGGAAGTTTTTAAAAACAGACTCCAGTTGGACTAGAACATGCAGCCCCCGACACCCCAGACGTAGTTACACAGTACAATAATTTATGTTTCATCGTAACGACTCAAACATCTTAATTCGCTTTAATATTAACTTAATAACATTTTTCACTTCTGTAAATTTGGCCCAGGGTAAGTGAAGAAGAAGAAAGCCAGTAACTCACAAATACGGAAAAGTTTGGTGATTGGTGGTGAAACGAAATTCTTAGATATGAATCTGCTGGTTTAAAAAAACCGTTTTGAAATATGCATAACTTTTTGAAAGTTTTGAAATTCGAATTTCTGCATGTTTAACTCCAAACATGTTTGAACCCGCGTAATCTTGGGGTTTGCACTTTTTGCAGCATTACCAGGTTCACATATTAATTAACTCTTGCTCAATTTATAATTTATACTAATTATCCGGTGCGCAGATGCCTAGGAAAATGTTAGTTGTTGCGCAGCTTTCAGCTCCCTTGAAAGGCTCTATTGCATAGATAAATTTTCATGAAAAAAATTGTTGACAGTGCCTTTTTTATATAAATAACTTTCAAAATTTGAAGTAAATATCGTAATTTTTCCTTCTAAATGCTTAAGTGTTTCAATAGGCTTCTAACCAAACATGGGATCATTGGAAAGTAATACTTAACAACCAGGTTGAAATTCGATCATCAACTGTTAATATTTTCTTGAACTTTTGTAAAAAAAAAGTTAATTTTTTTCTCGGACCTCCTTAGTGAGTCCCTATAACCCCTTAAAAGGAATGACGTCAATATTGAATCACCCTGTTTAATCAATTGTATACGTATACTTCTACAAGATTACAACCACTGTCAGTAAATTTATTATTTATTATTTTGGCACATTCCCTTACTAGATAGATTCAAAATCTCCCCTTCGGCAATGATTCAAATAACATTCCCGTACTTTTTGCTAGCGGACGGGAGGAATTGGGGTTATCGACCGCGTCTCTAACCTTCCAAATCTGCAATAGTCGTAATAATTTCATCAAATGGCGCCAGACAGTCGGATGCTGAGGGTGACTGGGGTGAATCAAAGCGAAACTCAAGAAAAGTGGCGTATCAAATGATGTTATTTAAAGAGCTCATCCATATTCATTAAGACTGAATATAAGAAGTAATATCTAATTTTTCATTAATGACACTTTCCAAATTTCCTTGAGTCATAGAAGATTATATTAACTTTCCATTGCAATCGACATATTTTACCGATACAATTTTTCCGTTTTTGATATGATAACCAACTACTTCAATAGAGTGTTTTGCCCTGGCAAAATGGCATACCAAAAACTTGCTTTCTACTGATCGAAACCTACCTTGAAAAAATCAACACGATGGTTTTTCAGCGGGAACACCATAATTTATTCTGAGAAAACTACCGGAACATGAAAAGTCTGTCTGAAAAACCATTGTTAGTTTGGCAAGTATCACCTATTTTCAACCTAATTTATTTCGTTTTTATTCGAAGCTTGTTTGTTTCTCTCATGAGACAGTATTGCCAAGTATCAGTAAAAACAATGTTTCAAGCAAAATATTTCTCTTGGTTTATTTAAGTTAGTTGCTTATTGGTAATTGACTTCGTGATATTTCTTACAAAACCGCGTCAATGTCATTCACGACATTGTCAAGCAACACATTTTTTATAACAATTGAAATATTTTACCGGAAAGTTTTTCTTCCAGTGATATGAAAACTGGGAAGACTCCTACCTAATCGGACAAAACCTGTTACACCTGAAGTGTTGCTAACAAGCAGGCAGAGCAAATTCTCCCCTTCATGTCATCTGAGGTGATACTTTATCTTTCATAAAACCCCACAAAAAATCAAGTGGCGTCAGATCTGGAGATCGCGGAAATATTTCATCTAAATGACTACGGGCCTCCAAGGGAGTGCAGCCCCATCTTGCTAAAACCACACATTCATGTTGTGTTGAAAAAAATGGGGACCAATAATTCTATACTCCTTTCAATATCGTAAATGTTATCTTGCCATGATATTGATCATGATCTGTAAGGAATATAAACTTTCCGTTTTAATGCGGACTTCTAAAGTACATCGTTTTCTTCAGTGTATTACTAAAGCCTAACTGGTTTTTGTTTCAATACGGAAGTTAGTATCTTTTTTTTTATAATTTAACACACTTGTATCGCTGTCTGTTTCCAGATAGCCTTCAAGTTAATTCAATTGTCTCATTGAAGTGGATAATTTTTTACACTTGACAACACGGCGTCCTCCGTTTCCTGATAGGGCAATCGATATCTTTTTAACATCCAGAGGCAAAGTATCTGTGAAATTGTTTTTCCCGGTTCAAAAGGAAAATTTATGCATTGACTAAGTCAGTCTAATTTAAGAAAAAAGATACCCTCGGATTGGAAATTAGGGTCCAAGTTCAAGACAGGCAAGAAAAAAGATGGAATGGCAGAAAAACGAAATTGAATCGTTTGTCATCAATTTTGACTGTTTAGCTTTGAACGATATTAATTTAAACTGCGGTTTCTACGGTACTTGACATTGTTGTTCTGATATACACATGAACAAAGGCAGGATCGTTCTTGGTAGTTTTGTGGGCCATTAGTTGGAAGGGTTATAATTACAACTCAATTTTGCTTACACCACGTCTAGAAAGAAGTACTAATGCTTTTGTTGTCGGTATGATTTGAGATCCAATTCCACTTTACATTTGCACAATTTACAACTCCATTAAAATATACAACGGCCTAACCACAGTAATTTAAAAAATGTCAAATATAAGTAGCATTGAGAAAGATTGTAGAAAGAGAACCATACAATTTATCAATAGATTCAGAGTAATCACATGAGTTATGAAAAGAGTTAAGAAAAATTGTTAAAATCGTAAAATAGTGTTTTCGTCGCTTGCTATGGACTGAGTCACGCGCGTTACTCAGCCCATAGGTCTTGAGGTGTTTGCGCAAACACCTCAAGAGGTAACTTTTACCATTCAGATTTTTTTAAATTTAATAATTACTTACAAAAAAAAGTTTCAAAAAAGGCCCAATAGCAATTTCCTGATATTACCTTGATGATCTATGGAGCGTGGTAATTTTTTTTCACAACAATCTTTACGAAAGTTTGTCCTCTCATTGAAAAAGAACAAATTTATCGAGACGTATTCAAACTCGAGAGAGAATAATTTGAAATACCTAATTAGAAAACAACACCTATTTTCATCCGATAACATGTACAAAGTGCGAGCTTAATATTTTGCATTTTTTAACAGTGAACCAAAAATATTATGCGACCCTGCAAGGTTTAAGCAAAGCGAAAATCCATTTGTTTGCCTTAAGACATCCTACATACGATAAATGAACAAATTAAACGCACTAATGCGCAATGAGTAAACGTCTATAAACAGGATGATGTTTGCTCAAAATATAAAACAGCAATCATCATTGATCATCATTTCTGCACAACTTTAGTATGCGTGTTCTATATCGATTTTTCGATCTGTTTTCGAGAAAAATTTATATATTCAAAACATGCAATTGTAGTGAACGCCTGTAGCTCCAATCGGCCTTTCGGTCCAATTGTTTATATATTAATGGAAATGCATTAGGTTCTATTTGCAAATTTGGCAACATTCAAAATTTGCTTTGAACTAATTGATTTGTGTTTTGACATAATTAGTATTTTAATGCCAGCGGAGCAGTCGTTTTCAGCTTTCGTTTCTGACAAGCCGGGTCGAAAATTAATTAGTAGTCAGGATGCGGTTAAACTTAACGCAAGAGAAACGAAAACCTGTCAGTAAGGCTGTCAATGGTTTCGGCCCTTAACATAACCGTTGCAATTATTTTAAAATAGCCCAAGTATTGAATGTTTTCAAATCAACTTCTTTGCAATTAACGGAGATTTTTTACGTGCGGATAAAATCTGTGCCTTGATTTAATATCTCCTTCAGATAAGCTTTTACTTTTTAAAGTGATAAAGAGATAAAAAAACATATGATTATGTCAAATGTGACAGTTAATTTGGACAAACGTCTTGTCATTTTTTTTGGATTGTCTTGTCAAATTAATATTGACGGTACCAGGAGTTACTTAAAATCTGTCATCAATTAGCTTTGTTTAAATGTCTCTTGACAGCTGTAAAATTTTGAAAAAATAAAATTAGATTCCAATAGAGCATTCAACACTGTAATTCTCTGTCCATTTAACCTCATTTGTTCCTGCTGTAGTTTCTAAGATCCCTATACTAGCAATCGAAAATAACTCACCCTGTATATGGCGACCAAAATGGATCAGTCTCTGTTATCTCTTCTGTAGTGTTCTCTTTTACATGTTATTCTGTTTGAATCCAACAACCACAGGCCAAAATTTACCGACCGATTTACGATTACGAAACGTAATGAAATAAACGATATTCAAAATTTGTACTTCATACTTTGACTGAGACCCAGGATGGATAAGAATATAATAATGTTTAATATCTAAAAGTTTCCATTGTCATCCATAATTTTATAGGGTTAATAAAAAAAATTAAACAAGCACTGAAACATAGTTAAATAGTGCAATCCGATCTGTTCGCGAATTGAGCTCAGTGCAGCCTTGTTGACTGGATTTTTAAACAATCCCCTTCAGTTAAACTTAAAAAATATAAAAATAAAAGACAAAGTGGGGATACCAGGTCAAAAAATATTTCGTGAAGTTTAAATTTTCTATTTACATCTTTCTAACATTTTGTTTCCAACATTTATGTAGGTACTACACTGTATATTCACAGGTTGAAAAGTATTGGCTTAAAATGCTAGCAACTTAACGAAAGTTATATGTTAATCTTAATTTATTGTTAAACTATATGAAGAATATTTTATGTACAATTATTTCGCATAATTAAACTATATCACATCGAATAGAGGTAAAGTCACAAAGTCTGTCAAGTTGTTATCACCGAATCGCTAGAAAAAGTCGAAGAATCAAGATGATGCGAACAGAGCTTGTGAACATGGCGAGCTTTGCAGCTGAGCTGCGACTTGCTGGACCATAGAATTCCACTGAAACAAAAAATCATAGTCACATTAGATTGAGACATAAACTACATTTGAATTATAAGTTTAAATAAAATACTTGAATTGTCGAGACAAAAAAACACTGAATGATCGGTGACCTTATTGGTGAGTGCGTATAGGATAATAAATATTAATTGCCAACTTTTCCATCATTAAACGTTGACTGTGGATTATGTTTTTAGATTACTGAAACTTCGGGTGCTCGTCGTTTGTCTTTCATGTCTGATTTTGCTTTGTACCGGATTACTTTTGCGTCGGTTTCCATTTTATTTCATATTAATAACGAAAACATTTTATACTAAACGCTGAAACCTTTCTGGCTTCCTTTTAGAGGGAAGCCGATTGCTACAAGTATAGCAAAAACTTTGGACCAAGTTAAATGGTGTTTCTTCTTCTCCCGCTTTTTGACCAAAAAATTCAGTAGTACCAAAGAATACTTTTTATTAATCAATAAAAACACGGTCACTACCAAATAACAACAGTAGAAATTAGTAAAACATCTTATTATAATAATCAGTTTTTCCTGCTTTGTCTTTCCAAATACACCAAACTAATTATTTTTTGCAATTCATTTAAGAATGTATGTCAAAGGATAAAATCCATACTGGTGAACTGATCAACGTCAGCGTTCTACTGCTAAATAGACGTTTTTTGCCGCTCTCGATTATGTATTAATGGTAACAAGTAGAATGATTTTGTACTTTTCCATTGTATTCTCTATATGATTCAAATACCATGTCCTATAATTAAACTCAATAGAACTCGAAGAATTTAAGACGTAAAAAAATGATTTACCAAAATAACAAAATTCCTTTAAAATTTTATCAGTTTACTTCTCACATGTGAAATCCTGCTTTTGTCGGATTGGTGATAAAACCCGTACCAAAATAGAAGCAGCTCATTTATTTACTCAAATCGACCATCATCGTTGGTGGTGAGCAGAATACAATAAAAACAAGGTGGGAGTAGAATATAAGCTAACTATCAGAGAATTTGGTCGTGTATGAGATTTGCCCAAATCTGGATGTTCTGCTCGAGGCGAAAATGAACAACTTGACGTGTCACTTTCTTTGCTCCTTTGGAGGAAAATCTATGGACTACTCTTTGGCAGATTGGTGTCAAGTTACACATGCGGAAATCTGTTCTTCACTAAATACCAAAGTACAAACCTCATATCTACAAAGTTGTTCCAATACGAAAGTTATTGGAAGATGATTTCGATAGGCGAAATTAATTTTACGAAAGCATGCAAAATATGTGCAATCTAGAAAGTAATTTAGTAAAAAACATTCTTTTTTCCGATGAAGCTGCGTTCTGTTTGAATGGTTATGATTTGAGTATAAACGGTCGAAATTGTCGAATATGGAACCTAAAATAATACTTTAAACTGAAAGTATTTGTAGCCAGGGTAAACAATATGCAGGCGGTGAAGAAAATATTCGAAAAGAAGTGCGTGACATTACTCCGGAAATGGTTGAAAACGTGTGGGAAAATATTATTGATCATCTTGGATATTGTCAAGTCGTAAATGGCACACATTTCGAACATTTAATTTTATTGTTATGCTGTTGTTTTATATAAATTGGTCTTTTTCAGAACAACAAAAGTTGGACAGAAATCGTCCGCTGAATTTTTGAATGAATGTTGACATTATTTCTGGGACTCATTGCAGATATTTCTTTCGGGTAAACTGTATGCAATCTGAAAGACAATTCGTGATGTTTCGATCGTGTTTAATATTTCATTTGATATGAGCCACATCAAATATCTGTAAAATTTTAAGAATTAAACACAATACAAAAATATGACTAAAAAACTTCTTTGACTTGTTCAATTCAATGTGCCTTGTGCCTTTTTTCAAAATTTATAAATGTCTATTTTCAAATTTAATTCCCACTAACTGACACATTTTCTTCAAACGAAGAAACTAACTAAGAGGATCTACTTTTGAAAGAAAAAACATAAGCGTATGCTCAGTTTAGGATTTAGAAGAGAAAACCTGTTATTCTATTAAGACGGAATTGTTAATAGACAAAATATTTGATAATTTATTGTTTTGACATTTTGAATATATCTTGCAAATTTTAACATAGAGTCAAATTTGAAAAAAAAATTGTCTGACTTTCCATTAGTTCTCTCTTCAGTTAGTGTAGTTTAGAAATATTGAGTTTTACAAATAAATGATTATAAACGATCGCTTTTTCACTTCGGGGAAATATTTTTGGAAATAGACCCATAATTCATTATTAGGGTTTTGTCTATAATTCAATGCTGCAAAAAGTTATCCAAAAATGTTTGCAAAGCATTAAGGAGGCGAGTGTTCCAATAAAATTGATCTTATTATTTTTCACAGAAAATAGCTAAAGAATAGAAGAAAATAGAAATAATTGCTTAATAGAAACTTTGTCAAAACTAGAATGACCTGGAAATTTTAAAGAACTTCTAAAAATCTACAGAGCGATGAAGGCGGCGAATTTTCCAAATAATAAATAATGTTTGTAAGTTTTTACTCTTTGGTAGTTTTTTCCATTATTATCAGAAAAGAAGAAAACCATCAGAAAATAATGGTTTTTTTGCGTTTTCAATTAAAAATGTTTAGTTTTGTGATCGGTTTTGGAGAAAACCTTACCTTTGCAAAATTTGTACGAAGTTATAAATTTACCTTGTAATTTTTCGAGTAAAAGACCTCCAGATTGTCAGTGTTTTTAAGTGATACTCTACAAAATAGAGCGTTTTTGAGAAGAAAGTAAAGCAAAAAAAAATCAGTCAACACTAACACTTGTTTTAACAAACTCTACAGTCTTCAGAGGAATGGAGGTGACGAGATTTCCAAATTTATTCTGTTCGTCTTTTGAAAGAAAATTATTTGATTTTTGTTCCAAATTCGACTCTGGAAAGGAATTTCAAAACTTTTTAAAAAGCGTCTAAGAATTCGAAATGTATATCATAATTGTTCGCGGAAAATCCCTTCGCCCCAGCGGAAAAAGTTTGTCAGCATTTTAAGTCAAATTTTAGAAAATTGAGGATTTAGAAGAAAGAGCAACTTCTCTAAAATTGAAAAATCCCCTAAAATAAACCTAAAAACAAGCAAAAAAGTCATTAACATTTTCCCAGCAACGGAACTGAGTTGGTGAGAGCGTGAGAGGTGAGAGAGTGAGAGTGAGAGTGAGAGCATCTATATCCGTAGCACTGCGCCAACTCCGAAAAGTTCTTATTTTTAATTTTATTTTTGGTATTTTGTTGAAAAATATTTAAGGTTGTTTGGAAATAGACCCCATTTATGTATTTGACCCCAGGCAAAGTTCATTAATAGAGGCAGTTTGCTGTTGGCTTTTTTGTTTAATTTTCCAATATGTAACTATTTGTGGAGCGGCCACGTGATCGTACTTTCCGATGTCCCGGTAACGAGTTCTGAATATCTAAAATTTCAATAGAAATTTGCAAGGCATAGTAAAATCTCCACCTCAGGTATTCCTAGAAAGGTTGGTATAATTCAATTGCACTCAAATAAACAAAGAGTAAAACTATAGAGGGTACAGGGTACATTTTTTCTTCGTGCTTTGATTTAGCAAAACTAAATTAGCAATTATGCGTTAATACATATTCGGGGCTTTCTGCTCTGTATACAGGATGATATGTCAATCAGGCATGCATAGTAGAAAAACTGCTCGTGCACCGAACTTTATTGGTACTGATTAATTCGACATAAATCCAGCAATGGCTAACACAGATGTTATTATATTGCTACGCCAGCAAATGTGTATTCATTTAAAATATATATATTATTTTCATAATTTTTTTATAATTCTGTCAATACCCAGTATCAATTGTGTGCTTCCAATACAACTCTCATAAGTGGAAATTGATTTAGCCAGCAGCTATGCACTTAAAAGTTCATTTATATTTTATATGGGTCGCGTCTGTGCTGTCTCAATATTAGGTCCGCGATTTCCCCATTTTATATTTATATTCGTGCTGGGCTGAGTTACTTTTACTAGTCTTTTAACCACCGAGGAATACGTTCAATGATGAACGCCGCAGGTTGGTACAGACTTTTGATTTGTTCGACGATATTAGCAATATTGGTGGATAAAGAGCATAAACGGCAGCGGATAAAGCGATATAAAATACAATCTACATAACACTCAAACTTTTTCACCACTCCTTCATTTTTTCATTTAATAAAGTAATTAACAATTTCGTTTCGCTTTTTTTGCGTCTCAGTTGGAAAATTACGTTGGAGATAGCAGGTGTGGGAGAATGGTGAAAACGTCTTTATACTCAATTATTTGCCTACGTTTCGACCTTTCTTGTGGTCTTCTTCAAGGTTAAATTTACAAAGCAATGATAGAGTACGTGGATGCGGAATTGGCAATACAACAAATATATAACCATACAACGGCAAAAAAAGAACGAGCCACAATTACAACTTTAAAGAAATAAAGAAAAATAACGATAGTCTAAAGTGATAAAGTCTAGGTAAATTGCTAAATATTATCCAAGATGTCTTGTATAATATTGACAAAAAAATTAAAATGATGTTGTTTTAGGTTAAAAAAGTACCAGATGTTCCACTTATAAAGATGCGTTTAGGTTCGATAACTGTTTTACCTGTTTTCTTGTGAAACATTCAGATTATTCACTCATCATTTTAAAGAAACTTGCAAAAAAAAATTCTGTCTCTTTTAACTAAGAAAATATGGGGTAATTTTGAAATTTACAATTTTGTATTTTCTCCTGTATCCCTTAAGCGAACAAATAGTTTAATATTTTGATTTTATCATTTTAATTTTGATCTGAAAATAGCACCTTTTTGACGACAACAATTCGGAAAAACCTATCAGTGTCGAAAATGGGACACCATGTACTACTTCGTTTCAGGAGAAATTAAATTTTTATTTGTAGGCTCGGAAACAATTTCACTAAGGTATAGGATATATTTTATGAAATCAAGTCAGAATTGGGCGTAAACTCGGAGTATGTTA